AGAATTTTACAACAAAAGGCTTCTTAACGCTTTACAGGTATGTTTTGCACTATTGCTCCTAGGCTATGGCAGTATTATTATTTTTTCCATAAAAGACTGTTATAGGCAATCAAATTTCATACCATTTTATAAATTAGGGCCATTTTATTTTAATGTAGCTTGAATGCAAGCCAAAGAACCTTTTATTTCAAATGCAGCTTTCTTTTGTCTAGTTACATGTGGGAAAAGGGAATCTAGGATACTTAATTGGAGAGCATTTAGTAAATTATTTCCCTTTACTCTCCAATTTTTCTTTTTTCTTGGTTATATTGATGATAAGTTGGCTTCTGTGCCTGGCTACATGTTTTAGATACACTTGGAAAGAGGAACCCAGAAAGAGTGAAGCTTTGTAATCCCCTCTTGTATGATTTGAGTTCTTTAGCCAGCTTCAATTGGAATTGTTTTAAAAAAGAAAAAAATTTCCAAAGAATCTTAAATTATGTAACATTTTCCAAGAGGTTGAACATCTTAATTTTTACATTGTTTTTGACCTGTGTTTGCAAAGTCATTTTGTTCAGTAGTTGCTGCTAGCTGTCACTGGGAGACTAACCAGTGGTTCTCACCCTTCTAATTCTATGATCCCTTAATACAATTCCTCATGTTGTGGTGACCTCCATCCACAAAATCAACCACAAATTATTTTTTGTTGCTACTCTATAACTGAATATTTGCTACTGATATGAGTCCTACTGTAATATCTTATGTGCAGGTTGCCTGACATGTGATCCCTGTAAAAGAGTTTGACCTCCCAAAGGGATCGTGACCCCAGGTTGAGGACGACCTCTGCCTAAACTCAGGTGAAAGAATGGTCTGATGATGGAGGAACTGTGAAGGAATCTTTAGTCTATCTCCATGTCCATGGGCCTTGTTTGGATTGTCATGAGACTTTAACCACCAGTTGCTCATGTCACGGTATTTTAGGTTTAAGATATGGATATGGAAATGATTTAATATAAAGCATTTAATAAAAATCACCAGTATTATTTCAGAAAAAATTCTGTTGGTTAAAGTATCATTTCATTACATACTGGAAACCTACACACAGGTGAACACACACACAGACACACACACACACACACAGAGGCACATGAACATACACACAGGCACATGTATAAATACATGCACACACACAGGCACACATACACATATAGACACAGGTGCGCAGACACACACATATACATATGCACATGTCCATGCACATATACATATATGCACACATTCAAGCACACTTACACAGAGGCACACATATACATATGCACACACACATATATACATACAGATACACAGAGGCACATATATGCATATGCACACACACACATATATACACATGTACACCCAGAGTCATGCTACACATACATTTGGGTAGTAATATTTTATTTAGACTCTAAGTATCGATCATGCAAGTAATCATAAAATTGATCTTGAAGCATAATATTTAATGATAAAAGTCTATAGTATAGGACTAATAGTAATCGCAAAGGCCTCAAATGAGAGAAAATTAAAGGTAAAACTAAGTTCATAAAACTTTGGGATAGCCTCAACAAAAGTTCAACTGAAAATAACTGTGGGATCTATCACAGTCATTCTGAAACTAAGAAAGTGAAGACTTAAATGGCTTAACTACACTGATGAGTATTCCAGGGGAGGCTTTGTGAAGGTCAAAGAAATGAGACATTTCTTACCCATGTGCCTTTAAACAAGCGTAGTATGAAATTCACCCACCACAGACTAGTGATGCCTGCAGAAGGACAGTCTGACTCCTATGGGATATCTTGCAGTGATGTAGCATAGGAAGCAGCATTAAAAAAATCTTCGAGGCAGAATTTTGAGAGCCAGGAAAAAACATTGCTGCTTCTAATTCTTTAATTCTTGCCTGAAATATTAGACGGATTGCCACAGAAGCACATGGAGAGCTCATCTGAGTCTTTGGGGAGAGAGTACACTACAAAATCCTATCCACATTTAAAAAAACAAAAAACAAAAAACATATCCTTGAGTACCCTTGCTGAAGCACCTCTAGCATTTCCTTAACTTTAAATACTTGATTATATTTTTATCTAGAAGAGGGATAATTTATTTTCCAGGAGGTTATTTTTAGAGTATGATGCAGATTTGAATCGCAAGTACTAAGTGTGCTTTAAATGAACATTGTTTTCTTCATCTCTTTCAACAAACAAACAAACAAACCCATTTTTCACCATATTTGATTGGAAGGTTCCATCTTGGGTCTCATTGGTAAGAGGCAGCCTTATGCTTAGACCCATGGTAAACAAAAGCCCATGTCTTGTTTTACTTTTTAAGTACCTATGAATTCTATAATGACAAATCAGACAACTGGCTCTTAGGAAATTCTCACGTCTTTGCTTTGCTGGCGAAAAATTTAACATGTGGGAGAGTTATGATGTCTGACATTGTTTCCAAAACAGCATGAAATAGATCTGGGAACCAAAATTCACTGATCTGAGTCAGTTCAGCGATCCTCCCTTTGTTCCTTTGCCCTGGCCAGCAGGGCACAACAGGGGTCGAGCCCACGGGAACCTGGAAGGATGGGACAAGAGACAAGAGGAGGTGACAGCAAGACAACATGGCTGATCAAGCTGCATTTAATGAGAATTTTGCACAGGCTTAAATAGGGGAAATGGGGTAGGGGGATGGGGCAGAGGAATGCAGGACAGTGAGGGAGGGGTCGTTGCCTAGTAACCAGGCCACTGAAGGTGAACAGGTAACAGGTGTTGGCAAGGTTAAAGGGTCACAGAGGGAGGGGTTGAGTGACCTAATTGTGGAATGTTTCCTTTTTGCCACTGGCTATTTCCTGTGAGCCCAAGTTCTATCCATTAGGAAGCTGGGGAGGGGATGGACTATTCTTTAAAAAGGCTGGCAATATTTATGAGGTTCTAAATAACAATGATCGCTCCCAACATTCCTTATTTCCAGTTGTCTAGTAATTAAACTTCTGACTATGTGAACTCACATTATCTCATTATATTACAGTATCCATGTTTCCATATAAAGTATTTTAAGAGGCAATTATCTTTTAATCTCTTTTTGGATCTTTTTTTTTGGGGGGGAGAGCAGCCTTCTTAAGACAGAACTCATGATATAACACCAATTGGCCTAGAATTTTGTATGTAGAAGAGAATGGCTTCAAATTAGCAGTAATCCTCCTGCTTCTGCCTCCCAAGTTCTAGGATCACAGACATGTGCCCCCACAACGGGCTGAGAAAAATGGTCTCCAGCAGGTGAAACTGTGGAGTTATGTATCTCCTGAGTGCTAAGGTGTGGATGAGCTGAGACGACGGAAGGATGGATTTGATCTTTATTCACTCTTCACTTTTGGAGTTCTACTTTTGTAGACTTTAACAATGTGCTTAATAGTTAGGTCCTGAGCTTTGTTGTTTTGTTCTTGCTAGTCCATTAACAATATCAATATGTAAATGGCTGATATTGCAGTATAGTAACAAATTTAGTTTCCTTTTAAAAAATTATATATGTATGATGCTGGATTTTCTTGTCCCTCCAGATCCCACCACCCTTTGCAGCCCCAAATAAACACATGGATCCTATATTAATTATACAACTGTTGGCTGATGACTAGGGATTTTTTATTGGCTAGCTCTGTTTTGGTTATGAAACCATAACTACTAATCGATGTATTTTTACATGGTCTTGGCTTACCAGAGAATGTCTGGACCTGTTACTCCTTTGGCGGCCTACATGGTGTCCATTTCTGGTGGATTCTCTTTGCCTACCTTTTCCAGATTTCTCCTCATCTCCTGGTCCCACCTATCTTCCTGCCTTACTGGCCAAACAGTGTTCTATTCATCAATCAATAAGAAAAACATATATACAGAAGGATAACCTTCATCATATGTATATTTATTTTAAATTGTAGTTACTGTGTTTCATGAATACAGAATTTCATTCCAGAGAGCCCTGGGTTGTGAGAGTTCAGAGAGTCAAGGCATGTCAGCAGTGTCCTGACAGCTTAAGAGTCTGTGTTTTCCATTCTAACCAGAGCTTCCTTATGCTGGAGAAAGATACTAATGATGGTATAGAAAGCACAAGTGATCAAGGGTTCTATTTAAAATCTTCCTCACTCACTTCCAGACCACTTATGCTGAGAGTGGTAATACAGGAGGGAAAAGGAGAGGGGAACACATGTTTCCTTTGTCTTTGTTGGTGAAATGCACATATATGAAGAAATAAGAATTGAGGCAGTTTTGTGCTGTCTCCACTCTTCTGGCAAGAATGAAAGACACACATGTACATACACTGTGAAATATAAGCTATGTCATTCAGTGATCTAAAAACAAATAAGTAAATGTATTTGTGCTTGTGTTTATATGGGGACACCAGACCTTGAACAGAGACCCACTTCCCCATCAGCCTGGGAGTAGGCAGCTGTAAGACAATGTTTACTAAAAACATGTTTACTAAAAACAATACAATGCCCTGGACAATAAGTTCCTGAAAAGGGCTGGCCCACGGGAACCGCCCTGACCTCGACCTTTTCCAAAGACTAACTGCCTCTTCTGACACATCCAAGTCAGAGCAGAACCAGCCAGGGGTAGAGAGAGAGCAGAAGCTTTTCTGGAGGGAGGCCTTTCTTGGGAAGTTTTCTTGAGCCTTTTTGGGGCCTGCTTAAAGTTTTCTTTACACCTTTGAAAGAGTCTCTGTGTTGTCAATCCCTGACACCCTCCACACATTCTTGGATACAGGTGGTGCAGCGGGCACGGCAGTTTAAAACTCACCTTGCACATTGTAAGGCTAAATAATAAAACTCATGTTAGTGATTTTAGAAATAACAGCTATTTTTACCTCTTCCATATTACAAAGGTATAGTACATATTAGTGCTTACAGAGAGAAGTCTACACATGAATTAAAATGTCCTTTCCTGTGTTCATGAACACCCCCCCTGTCTCTATTTAATAAAGGATTACTATAACATGTGACACACTCCAAAAAATAAAAAAGCCAGTTTTTATTAACTTAGGGAGACATTAAATAGTGAGTAAAGAACAGCATGTTTTTAACAGACTAGAGGGGCATATTTTCTTGCTCTTTTGGCAAGTAGCCTTGCTTTTTTTTCTTATGGAGTACCCAAATTATAGATCTAGCTGTGAACTCCGTGTGATCCATAAAGAGCAATGTATGTCCTGCTGGAGTTGTGCCTCTATTTTCTTCACTTAGGCCCCCAGTTTCTCGATTTCAAACATTGTCTTCTGTTAATAAAAAATAAAAGAATTTAATTGTTTCAGCTTTATAGTTAATCAGACAACATTTTATGTTACCAATGGCAATCTAATCATGTCTATTTGGGGTGAGATTCTGGCCTTTTTATATTTTAGTTTACCTTTTAAGGTAATCTTCAAGTTTTCCTTTGAGATAGTTAATTTCATCCTACTTCAGAGCTATTGTGAAGAATAAATTTATGTGTGCAATGATATTTATCCAGCAGCTGTTATTGAAAGACACCCAGAGTTGGGAGACCCTCACTCAAGTCTCGGGATAAGCCAATGCCCCAATAATTCAAGAGGGACCATTCTTGCTGCAAGCACATGAGGTTTATTTGGGGAACTAGTGCACTGGGGCCGAGCTCATGACCCTCGCAGGGGCAGAGGAGTTCGACCCCTAGTAGCTGCAGTTGGGGGTTTTTAAAAGGGAAAAACTGAATCGGGGAGTTAGGCAAACATCATAAAGGATGTAAAGTTAAATGATAGCTTATGTCTTAACAGGAAGGTTATCTCAAGCAAGCATTCTTTAGGCATTGTACAGTTAAACATTGAGCAGGAATGTGGTGAGCTAGTTCCTGGATAAGGGAGGGTTATCGTTTAGGTTTATCTTGAGGTCTCTGGTTTCTCAGGAGAGGGCAGAAGGGTAAGTCACTCTGTGATGGGCTAGTCACTAGGGGTCTAAAAATGTTGAGTTGGGATCTTTCATTATATTCTTGGGACTCAGTTGTAAGAGAACCTTACACTGTAATTCCCATCTGAGAGGTGAACCATGAGGCAGCGTTCTGACGTGCGAACGTTGTAGGGACAGTGAGAATTTGAAAAATGGGGCTCATGCTTGTGAGAGGCTAATTCTTCCTCTCCTAGCAGCCCTTAGTCACTTGTAGTTCTTCGACTAGAGGGTGGTCACTGTGGAATTCCCTCCTCCAGCTTTTCCATGTTCACTGATATTTTCATTGTTCTGGTCTTGTTTGTGAAGCTGTTCCTACCAGAGACTGTTTCAGAACAGATCTCCTAGTAGTCTGGCTCTTACATTCTTTTTTTTTAATTTAAATTAGAAACAGTCTCATTTTACATATCAATCCCATTTCCCTCTCCCTCCCATCTTCCCTTCCTATGCTCCCCCCCAAAGACCCCCATCCCATCCCTCTTGGGCTCTGATATTCTTTACAACCCACCTTCCAATGTGTTCCCTGAGTCATGAATGAAGGAAGTCTGATGTAAATGTATCTGCTGGGGCTGGGCTCCCCATGACCTGTTGATCTCTGCATTGAATCCAGTGGTTTTCTGTAATAGTCTCCAGTTGCTGCATAGGGAGACTTTGTTGATGAGCGGTGGTAGATACATTTGCCTTTTTATTGACTGTACAGTTCTGTGTGATCATTTAGACTACATCGAACTGCATTGTAGACATTGCATGACCAGGAAGACAGTACATCTGAAACTATAGTGGATGACTAAGGGATGAGATTGCACAGGTAGGCTTCTTGTCTCAGAGGTAGATTTTGAGGTTGAAGTGACAGGACTTGGTAATGAATTGGCTGTGAGAGGACTCAAAGATGTGTTTTGAGGTTTAGAGCAAATGGGCAATGGCAATATCATTTATTAAAATAGTAACAGCTAGGAGAGGATAGACACCCACCACTAAGAGTGGGGATCAGGAGTTTTGTCATAACACACACACAAAAGATTAGATATCTGAGTGCACAGGCAATTAATTGTTACCTAGAAAGGGAGAATCAGTCTTCTCCAGGGATGTGCCCCTGACAAGTTATTCAAATGGTCAGCCCTAAACACGTAGTGTACACATATGAATGACACTAATGGGCTCAGCAGTCTTTTGTGTGTGTGTGTGTGTGTGTGTGTAACAATAATAACTAATGAAAAGGAGGTGATGGATTTGAGAAAGAGTGGAAGAGATCCCAGAATTGAAGGTGAAGACGCAAGAAGGGCAGTGATGTAAACACAGTGCTCATTTATGAAACTCTGAAAATTTAGATAATAAAGAGAAATCTGAGTGCAAATACCACAGAGATAGAATTAGTTGAGACAATGTATTCCAAAGACATGATTAATTTCTTGAATATGTTGCTCTAAAGATGACTGTGTCCTTTGATATTCAATGATGACTTCATTTTTTTTTAAATTTAGGTTTAGTGTTCATAAAAACTACTTTACTCTTGGTGACTCCCTCTGAGCTACTATCACTGCAGCAATTGGTTCTTAGATCCAGGATTAGAGTAAGACTAATGTTCTTTGAGGACAAGGTTCCAAGATCCAAGCTCATTTTCATGTCCCTTTATTTATTATTTTTACATGAATCCATAGCACTTAATTGTAAATTTGGGGATATGTGAATTACAAATGGAGAGAAGGGAGGGAAAGAGGGAGGGAAAAAGGAAGGAGAAAATACCTTTTTGAGTGCTCAATCTACAAACTAGAAGAAATGCAAGAATTAACTTTTTGTCTAAATATTAATTTGGCTCAGAAGGCCCAAAAATCTGGGCTTACAGATGCTCTTTCTAACCCTTCTACATTTAATCAATAATGACTCTGGCAGAAAGGGAAAGTATATCTTTCCCCCTATCACAGATAATTGAATATTGCCTAATTAAATTAATGGCAGTACTTTGATGCCATAGAGACTAGTGATATATAAGATGCCTGGCAATGATAATTGTTTAAGAAATTAGATAATGTAGAATGAAAGGTATTGGGTCTAGAGGCCATAGATATAAACACAGTCCCCCACTTTCCTTTTGAAGTTTAGGTCTATATTTTTATTTTAAAATATGGAATCCTTTGAACTATCAAAGCGTGTTCAACTTTTTATGACTCGTACCCTTATCTGCTTTATATTTAATTACTTTAAATTGCTAGAATTATTTCTACTTGGGTATAAGCTATAATCTTATAGGGAAGACTATACACCTGTGTACCTCCACATTTATTCACACATTGCAATATATGTAAAACAATACTGAAAAAAAACCAGCATAGCACACACAATTACCAGTCTAGTCTCATATTCAATGAATTCAGGCACAACTATCAGTGTCCTATATGTTGTGGGAATTGTCATGAGAAATACACTTAATATAGAGAATGACTTGGAGAAAAACAACTGTCCTGGGTGTAATGTACTCTTGTCTGTCACAAAACACTTTGGTGGAAGATGACAATGACAAAACTATGCGAAGACTTTCAGTTTGAATAGTGAAGACAGGAGTCCCCCCCTCCCCCACACCAACTGATAAGACAAACACTTTTAGTCAAGTAAGCATAAAAAATAGTTTAGAAATATGGGACTTCACTTGGCTGGGGTATACACACACCCCTCTCCAAACATGCACCTGTTAGCAATCTACGGCCCTGAGTTAATCATATGCCTACTTTAAACAATGGTAATAAGTTAACTCCATGCCCCTATAGTGATGCTTAGATAACACTTTCTATTCAAGCACATCCTGGAACACAGTCTGGTTAACCATGGGTACTAACACACAACAAGGCAAAACTATGACTTCAAGTGAACTTTACTTTTTCTTTATTTTTGAGACTTTTATATATATATATATATATTCAATGAAATATAGTTATATCTACCCTTCATTTTCTCCTCCCCCTCCTCCCATATTGTAAATGAACTCTGCGAGTTTTGGCCTGGCATTGGTACCTAATAATCAGCCTGAACCAAGTTTCATTCTTGTCTTTTTGCACCCTTCCCCCATGGGGGTCTGCTGACCAGCTTGTGACTAGGAGCTTCTAGCAAATACCTCTTGTCCCCTCATTCCAGTTAAGCCTGAATGCAAGTTCCTGTTTTCTCTCCATTTATTGTCTAAATGCTAATTCCTGTTATTGGCCCATCCTTTGCTGGAGGGCCCTGGGAACATGAGCTCCTGACCTTGGTAGACTGATGGGGAAGTCCTGTGTATATGTCAATAAAGCACTGTTGGGCCAATAGGGAAGCAAGATAGGTGGGACTAGGAGTTGAGGATGATTCTGGGAAAGAGAGAAACAGGCAAACACAATGTAGCCCACAGAGGAGTAAGATGTCTGGACCCTTTTCTCCAGTAAGAGAAATAATTAGATTAACAATTATGGGTTAAATACCTAAGTCAGAGATAGCCAGTAAGAAACCAAGCAAAGGGCCAACAGCTTAATAATTAATATAGCCTCCTGTGTGTTCATTTGGGACTGATGTGGCTCTGGAACCAGGCTGGTGGATAGACCACACTCTACAGTAGACCTTGGTAGTTTCCTACCATGCCTGTTATTGGTATATAATGCTCTGCTCTTGTTAAAATAAATGCAATTCTCCTTGCAAGAATGAGCAGCTATCTTTGTCTTCATTAAATCCTTAGCTCTCCACACCTAGAGAAAGCTACCCTCTCCCACTCCCACCCTATAGTTTTTGTATGGGGTTTAGGCCTTGTAGACATATTTCTGCTCATTTTGGCATGTCGTTTTCTATGTCCCTCATGTTTGGGCAATTGTGCTATTGGAACTTTATGGGTGTAGCTTCTGACATTACTAGGAGAAGTCATTTCACAGTAAAATATCTGATTCTCTGGCTTTTACAATTTTTCTGCCCCTTCTTCTGAATTGTTCCCTGAGTCTTAAACTTGGGAGTGTTTTGTAGATACATCCATTGAGACTGGGATTCACAACTCTGCATTTCAGTTGCTTTTGGTTTCCGTAGTGGTCTCTGTCTATTGCAAAGAGACATTTTCTTAACAAAATTTTATGTTCTTAATTTCAACCAGTCATTTTTAAAGAGATCGCCTCACACTTTGTCTTTGTTTTGCTTGAACTGTGTGTCCAGAGTCTTCATTGCTCCTTTTTATAGCACGTATAATGTCCCTAAATTCATGCAGAATGTGTGGGTTTGTGTTTTTCAGTCATGTGGTAGTTGGGTATAGGGGCTGTGCAAAAATGGTTGCGGAAGTGTTAAGTGAAAGAAACAAATTTTAAAATACCTTTCTTCCTGTCTAGTAATGGACTTTTCTTTTTTGCCCTAAAACTCAAAAATATGGGTTCAGGGTAAATGTTCAAAAGGAATTTGAATATACCTCTTGAAATCTATTGTCCCCTTAACTTCTGGGACAAATATGAAATTTTGTAGCATAAAAAGCTTTTTCCTTAGCAAATTTAGAAAATTCTGTAGTTGTCATTTTAAATAGAAGAACAAAAATGAGACGCAGGTAGGAGAACTAAGCATGAGGATGTATGGCTTCCTGTGCCCATGTGGTATAGAAATTCCTTGTTGTTGTTATGTCTCCATACCCGTGAATTTAGGAAGCCACTGCACTTATTTGAGCACTGAGAAGTGTGATTCCCATTGGCACTTACTGGCAAAGCATAATTGGCAACATATCTGTATGTGCATTTAAAATTTATGACAAAATCTATTTGCTACATTTGAGCTTCAAAACAAATATCATGCCAAGTGGCTGAATAATGTTTTAAATTGGTGAGTAATTATGAGTGCTGGAATCTTACAAATCTATTGATGGGGGAGGTTAAGAATAGCATCCTGGGTCCATTTTCGATTCACGGGAGAGACACTCCTCTAATTTTATGGGGCCATGCCCTGCTAAACACACCCTAGCTTTAAAACAGTGTAAAGTGAAAATGCATTAGTCCACCTAAAGTACTTAGCATCATAGCCTCACAATACAGCATGCGGTAGAGTCTGCATCTTCGCTCCTGTGACTGCATGGCTGGTTGGGTGTTGCAACTTGCCGTACTGCCAGGGTTTCCTGCCACTTTCAGGAGTCACATGAGAGGATCATATGGCATATCTACTTGCCTCTTAAGACCTAAATTCAGATTCAAAGTATAGTTTCAACTGAATGAATATCCCTTGTACATAACTGTGCAATTGAAAATTTGTAAGTCAAATTAAAATAACTGTGAACTATCTGTGGGTATTGCAACGACCACTACATACAATTTCTATCAGATGTTTGTCCTTAGATGCTAAAAGTCAGGGATGAGAAATATAACTCTGTCTAAACTTGAGGCTGTTGGTAGAGAATTGTGATGATTTTACAGCTACAAGTTTTTGAAAAAAAGATAGAATTTTGGTTTAATGATTTGCAGATGATAATAAAGAGTATTTCAGCTGCTAAATCATTTTAAGTTTGAAAATTGAGACAAATATAATTGTAGAACTATATAAAATTTCTATCTTTTGCCTTAAAAGTTTTAAATTATCCACATTATCACTATACCTTCTATGTAATATAGACAGAGCACTGTCTGCAAGCTTCAACTTCAGTAATAACTGTCAGGATACATTCGCGTAATCTCACCACAAGTGCATAGATGAAGGTTTTTCAATATTTTGCTGAAGCATGCTATTATTGTCACTTAACAATAAGAATGAATAAATCTGAGAAACAGTGACAAATCTATGTGACAATTTTTACAACTTCTCTGTCTTTATCAACCAAGTTAATGGTTCAATGGACAGACACATTTTACTATGCTGGAATTGTAAATTCAAGATGACCCATGCATATGTTCAACTACATTGCTTAGGGAAAAAAGAGATTTTACTTTTAAATGTACATTTCAATTCTAATTGTGTTAGTTTATTAGAGCTGACAGAAGAAAATTCTGTCAGTTGTGTGCTTTAAACCACTGAAAATTATGTTTCTGAAGGTTTGAAGTTCAAAATCAAGGTGCTGGCAGAACTGGTTTCTTCAGAGGCCTCTCTTATGGTAGATATGTGGCTTCCTTCTTGTTCTACTTTCTCATGGTTATTTCTGTACATCTGTGACTATCTTTTATATCTCTTTGTTTCTCTATGTTTCCTTAAAAATGATGCTAGTCAGCTATATTAAGGGCCAACCCTATTTTAACTAATAACTCCTCAAACCAGTGAAATGGCTCAGTAACAGATTGCTGTACAACCCTGGTGACCAAGTCAGATCCCCAGAACTGTGTAAAGGTGCAGGGAGAGATGGACTATCAAGGACTGTCTTCTGACCTCTGTATACCTGAGACCTGAATGTACTCATCCATTGTACACACACACACACACACACACACACACACACACACACACACACACACAGAGAGAGAGGGGGGGGGAGAGAGAAAGAGGAGAGAGAGAGAGGGGGGGTGTATATCACTGATCTAAGATCAAATGACATAGTGGAGAGGGGATCTTTGCTCTCTTGGAATTAACAGTAGAATAGAGAGAAACCAATTAAGAGAGAATAAGAGACAGAGAGAAAAAATAAATATAAAAATAAATTTATGAGTTTTTAAATACCTTTGCTTGAAATATAGTTACATTACACAATAGTGGTAATGAAGTCTTTAGTCTAAGGTTTAGAAGGAACACAAATCAGTCTTTAACCTCAATATAATTATACATCTCCCTGTATTTGTTGTATCTCTTTTAGGTTTGTCAATGGTCTAAGATCAAATGACATAGCAGAGATGGGATCTTTGCTCTTTTGTAGTTAATACTGGAATGAAGGAGAAAATCAAATTGTAAAGGAACAAACAACCATGTGGTTAAAAATATTGTCAGTTGCTAATAAAGGAATTAAATAAAAGTATGGTGTAGATCAGAGCAGTGTGAGTGGAGAAGGACATGGGGGAAGTTACCCTGTATAATCTTATGTAGGATCCTGGGAAAGATGATATGTTACATTTTCTTTTAAGTGTAAGGAGTGACTATTTTTGAAAAGCTAAAAACAGTAAAGGAGGATGAAGCCAATAGATAAGAGAAAAGGTAATTAGATACACTGGAGGTGACCAGATGTTTGAATTTATAGGTATTTTTAGACTGTAGGAAGAAGTTTGAATATTATTGAATTTTAATGTGAAGTTATTGAATGTTTTAAGCAAGAATGCTCTTACTGCTTTAAAAATCTCATATAGGCTGCCATGCTATGGTTAGAAGACATATAGCAGACAAAGGTAACCCACTTAAAAATTATTGTAGTTATCGCGCATGTTGGCATATACCTTTAATCACAACACTATGGAGGGAGAGGCAGGCAGACCTCTGTGAGTTCAAGACCAGTCTGGTCTACAAAGCAAGGGCGAGGACAGTCAAGGCTGTTACCCAGAAGATCCCTGTCTCAAAAAAAAAAACACCAAAAAATTGTTGCAGTAGTTCATAGCAGTCCAAAGTATTAGAACTACAGAGGTGTGAAGTATGATGCTATGTAGCAGGATTAATAAAAATCCAGAGACAGAGTTCAAGCTGAAGATCAGAGAAGCAAAGCAGCCAGCCATTAGAGTGTTCTCATAGCTATCACTGCTGTGACCAAAGAGGCATTGACTGAACCTCAGACAGCACTGCTCTGTACCAAACCACAGACTCACTTGTCTCCTTGTCTTCTCCTGCCTTACGTTTTTCTCCAGTGCTGGGATTAATGGCTTTGGATCCCAAGTACTGAGATCATCTTTGTGTGAGGTCTGGTTTCTTTTTTAGACTGGATCAATTTCATGAAGTCCAGGATGTCCTTGAATTCTCAGAGATCTGTCTGTCTCTGCCTCCCAAGTGCTGGAATTAAAGGTGAAAGGCGTGCACCACCAATGCCCATCTTCTGGATAATAACTAGGGTGGCTGCTGGGATTAAAAGTGTGTGTCACCACTATTTGGCCTCTATAGCCAACTAATGTGGCTAGCTTTGCACTCTGATCTTCAAGCAAGCTTTATTTGTTAGATCATACACAAAATATCACCATAATGCTGCAATGTTTTAAGGGTGGAGATGACATGAGTTGAAGACGAGTTGAATTTTGTAGAGTAGGAGACAGGGATCTGGGGGAGAGGGGTAGTGGGGGAAAGGACTGAGAAGAGCGGAGGGAGAGGAAACTGTTTTCAGGATGTAATGCATGAGAGAATCAAAAAGAGAAAAAGAATCAGGGGTGGCTCCCAGGTCTAAATGGCACCATGTATGCCAGCACAATGTGTTGGGAAGTGAAAGACAAGAAGGAGACAACTTGCCCAGGGAGCGGGTTGAGGTGTGCTGAGATACAAATTAAGTATGCTGGGTTGATTTTGAGGTGTCATTAGGAAATTCTAGGAATGATGAGTTGGGGTTTCAAGTCAGAGGTTATTAGGAAACAAACAAAAAAATGCCTCCTTAAGTTGTAGTGAAAAATACCCATTTGCTAATGATCACTAGTGAGCCACCATGTGGATTGTATCTGTAAATTCTAAATTCTTTTGACTAAACAGTGAGGTACAACACTTTTTATGATGTAATATACGTAAGGCATTGATAGGAGGCATAGCTTCTGGAGTGAGTCAAAGGGTTTCATATTTGTGCTCCATTAAATTTGATAATGCTTTGATTAAGGATGTTCTGGGGGTGGGGTCAGTGTCAATTTAAACTGATGGCCATCATGCTCACTTTTGATGTCTGATAGAATAGTCGTTTAGAACCTCCATGACAGAGACAAGCAAAATGCTTTTAGTGTGACTTTGCAAATTGTAAATCTGGCAGGGATTTTAGAAGCATTTGGCTCCACTGGCTCAAGTGATTTAGTAATTTAGTAGTGACTCTGTGTTAACAGTTTCTTAAATATTTAATGTTTTAGGCAGAATGATAGGTTGATAAAATGTTTGCTGTGTCTGAGGAAAGTAAATCATGGACTTTGACCCCAAACTACTGGAGTCTTAAAAAGAACCTTGTTTTTGACATTAAGAAATATTTTTCTGGAGAGCAGGAAGGTTGAGCCAGGGTAAGAATAGAGGAGAAATGGATGGGAGATGCCATAAAAGAGGGAGCCATTATAAGATAGAGGAGAGACCTGGCACTAGTGAGATCTTCACAAATCTACAAGAATGACACCAACTGGCATTAAGGCTAACTTAAATGCCCTCCCATGATAATGAGAATGATAACTACCTTATATGCCATCCTAGAACTCTTACCCAGTGTCTGACGGAGGCAGAGGCAGACACCCACAGCTGTGAATTGAACTCCTGGATCCCAGTTGCAAAGAAGAGTGATGACCAAAGGAATCGAGGTCACAGAGGCAGGTGACCTAAACAAGGGGGAACACATGGACCCCAGACCGATGACTGTGGGACCAGCATGGGACTGATCCAGACACCCTCCCACCGAACCTAGGTGACAGAGAGGAGGCCTTGGCAATCTGTGGGACCTTGGAGAGTAGAGAAGTATTTATCCCTGGCATACAGATGGACTCCGGGAACCCGTACCAAATGGAGGGATGCTCTCTCAGCCTGGACACATGGGGGAAGAACCTGGGCCTTTCCTGGGATGATGTGACAGACTCTGAAAATCCCTCATGGAAACCCTTGCCCTCCCTGGGGAGTGGAGGGGGATGGAGTTGGGGTGATGGGTTGGGAGGATTGTGGGATGGGGGAGAAGGGGAGGGAGAGGGAACTGAGAGTGACACGTGTAAAAAGTTAAATAAAAAATATGAAACAAGAAATGTTTTTCTGTTGCTTTTAGGTGTCTTATAATTCTGGAAATTTTTTTTTCTGGAGGGGCTCATTATGTTGACTCAACACCACAAACACTAAGATTACAGAGCTGTGGTATCATGCCACTGAAAAGAAACTTTAATGAAAAATAGTGAGCAGGAAAATACGAAAGATGGGAGTTTACCTATCACTGTGCATCTTAGACTTGATGGTTTGACTGACTAAGTAAGAGAAAAAGAAATTTAGCTATGCTGTCATCATCAGCTTCCCTGAAGATTTCCTTCACAGGAAAGGACTATTTTCAGGCCTCAAATTGTTCTTAAAGATAAAGTAAGGTTTGCCATTCATCATGAGGTTCATCAGCAAAATCCTTCATGTTTGTATATATTAAAGGATGATCCTAACTACACCAGGGCCCATTCTGATGGTGTTATATGTGGCCACTGCACTAGGCAAAAAATTAGGGCAGGGAATGAAGACTACCATGGTCAACTAGACTTTAAGGAGGAGAAGGATGCCGTCATGTAAAGTAAAACTTGGCAAAGAGGGTAAATATTTTTTTCTTTTGTCAAAGAACCATGGGATTCTTACATCATCTGCTCTGGCATCACAGACACATGGCACTATTTATTGAAATGCTGGGGCAGCAGCTCTCCAGTGACCTCAGAAGACATTCTGTTGCTCATAGAATTGCCAGCACCAGAGACAGCCAGAACATCTTTTCCTTTGGTACCTATTAAGGTACTGACCTGATCTGACTCTGTTTTCTTTTGCGTAGACAGAGAACCAATATTTTACATTGATTTCACTGTAATCCAAAATTAAAAAAAAGCTCTATTTGGTTACTCACTACAGCAAACTCACTTATGTGAGATATGCAGCCTTAGTCTCTTATGAACCACAGCTTGTGTAGGAAATACCCTGAGTAAATAACTGAAACTATCAACTCAGTGAGGCTGATCTTTTGTTAACTGCAGCTGATTTTTTATCCCCAGATAACCAGGATCAATTGTACCAGCAAGGAAAATGTTTTATTTCCCTGATGTTGGTGAAGTGGAAGTGATTAGCCCCAAAAGACCAGAAGCCACAGATTCTTAGTACGCACATGGCCTCGGTTGGAGCTTTACTAACTTCTGAAATCCTGTGAGCTTGGTTTCCATCATCTTCACTGCTGTCTCTGCGTTATCTTCCAAGCTCCCCCAACAGAAGCTCATCAAACACCGAGCAATGAATACTTTTCCAGCCCATTGTTGCAAGCACTTCCACTGTACAAAGCAGTCAGGTCTTTTGTAGTATTACCTCAGCCCTGGTACTGATTTTTGTTTTAGTTTGCTTCTAATTGCTGTGATAAACACCACACCTAGAAGTGACTCAAGGAAAAAAGGGTTTGCTTGACTTACATATCCCAATCACAGTCTATCATTGAAGGAAGCCGAAACAAGAACTCAAGCAGGACGGGGACTGAGTGATGACTGTGGAGGGATACTGCTTATGGACTTGCTCAGCTATCTTTACTAGACATTCAAGGCCCACCTGCCTTCAGTGTGCTGAATGTTCCTATACCAACTAACAACCAAGAGAGTGCCCACAGACATGCCCACCTTCCAATCTGATGGAGACAATTCTTTAGTTGAGGCTCCTTCTTCCCAGGTGTGTTGACAATGAAGATTAGCTCTCACAGCACACAAGCATCTCCAGTTTTTATAATCTCTTTCCAACTCAGTCTCCCCAATTTTCAATTCTCACCTATTTTCTTAAATATTGATAGGATTATCTCAAATTAATACAAAATTATTTTGAAGAGGTCCATAACCCTATTTTGTGTAGGCCTCTCTACTGTCCTGTACTTGTTACAAGTTTATGGTTTTCATTATTCTTATTTCTTGTTTCTTTTTCATGATAATCCTCTCATAACTACTCAAAGTGTCTGGGTCTGCTCATTGGCTTTTAGCTTCTTTTTTATGCACTTTTAATAAACACATGATATGAGGATGATTGTAATATTACATCCCTGATTTGAAGACTCAGGGATTTCATCATGTAATATATAATCATGTATATTACATCTTCTCCCAAATTCTTACGCTAAATACTTAGCTATAAAGTATCTGCTTTTGGAAATAGATTTCCAAGGAAATAATTAAGGTTAGATAAAGTTGAGAGGGTAGAGCTATGATTTGATGGTATTAGTGTCCTCCCAAGAAAAGATCCGGAAAGCTTGCTTTCTATCTGTAAACAGAGCAAAGGAGCCCTTATCAGATACTCACTTTGGTGGAACCTTGATACTGACTTCTGATCCTCAGAACTATGAAAACTAAATTTCTGTTGTTTAAACCTGTGGTGGTTTGAGTACGCAGATAAACCTGTTCCCTTCAAATGAGCTGAACAACATTCATTCTGATTCCAAATATTTCACTTATGTTTTTTAAGCTTTCTTTGACTACTCCAAACTCATGATCTTGTAGTTTGTTGATCACTCCTAACTTGCAAACCCAGCCTTTTCTATCTATAAAAGGACTTTTCCAACAGTAGTTTAAGTTAGAATCCCAGGAGTCTCTCTTGATGATGCCTTATATTTACCCCCACATTAAATCCACTCGTCATTCCTTCATTTCATTGCCTTTCATATTTATCAGACGTACAGGGGAGAACATTCCTATTATTAACTCACCATACTCAGCCAGTACTTCAGTTTTGGCAGTCATAACTAGGGACTGAGTTTGCCAACTAAAAGAGAGGAACAAACCCAGAGGATAGATGCTAATATGATGTCACAAAGGGAAAAACCAAGTTTCAGAGGCATAGTGTTTACCTAGTGAACAGACAAACAAACCAGAGACCTAATATGACTTACTGAAATAAGGGACCCACAGTGACTGATGAAATTCAGAGGAAACCCAGCAGCACAAACCCTGAGAGTCTTGGTGAAAGGAAGAAATGCTTCACAATTTCACTTTACAGAGAAGTAACACAATACTGGGTTTAGATGAAGATGTGGAGTGACTAATGGGTCACGCAAATGGGTGGAAATATTACCGAAAGGGCTCACCATTCTTAACTTCTTCATGCCGACTTAAAGTCACAATCCCAAAGACAAGTAAAATGAAAATAGCAAGATTATGTTAAAATCCTTCTGTGCTGATCTTGAGAATAAGCTAAACAGTTGTAGCTGTGGACAAAGGTGAGATAGATACAGAGGCAGTAAAGAGAAGACTTTCCACATCTGGGTGGCAGAGGTATTGGTGAAGATGATGGGTATAAGTGCATTTATAGGGGCTAGTGAAGGTAGAACCCCCTGCCAGGTGCACATTTTGCATGGATAACAGCAATTTGTAGGTCTACTGAAAACACAACTATAAAAGTAACTCTGTTTCATTGGTTCTTATTAGTACTCTTAAATGAGATATCTGAAAGAAAAGAAGGATCATACTGTTTTCTAGTGAACAGGGATTAACAGAAATAATGGTTTCAGATAATAAATGAAAATTTATATAAAAAGAAGTGGAATATGGATTCTTGGGACTATACATCATATGAAAGTACATTGTTTGCAATTGAAACTGTCCCTGGAATGAGGCGTGATGAAAGAGAAGGAGAACAAAACCACTGAGCAAAATGAGGAAGGAGAAATGGAAGTAAATGAAAATGAAATATGTCCAGACAGAAAAGACAACAGACAATGGAAATTAGTGGGAAAGACGTCACTCACAAGTGGACATGATTGAAACTTGAGTATGAGAAGAGGTAGTTAGTGCCTTTGATGGGAGTACCACTGAGAGTCCAGGTGGGGATACTGATTTTGTAGGCAAAATATATCTTAGAAGAAAAATCCATGTTCAGAATTTTAAAAAAGACTCCCTCAGATCCTCCCACCTCAGTGGAGTCTTTATAGAGAGCCATAAATCCTGATTCCTTTAATAAAAGATGGAGGAAATTCCTATTAAACCTACAGGAATACCAAAAGAGAGAGAGAGAGAGAAACAAGAATATTAGTCGTTGACAAACATTTCAAATGCTATGACTGAACTCAAATATAATTTAAAAACACTGCCATGGATCTCAAAAATGTCTACAATAAGGACAGCAGAAGTTGTTTTATCTAGAATTTTTCTTACATTCCTGACTTGTTCCTATGGTTTCTGGACACTTGAGGAGCAAAGGAAAAGAATGAGTTCTTAAGTCTGTGAATTTGTAAAGCAGAATTCAGGGAAGATGAGAGTAAAGGATGGAGGATGTGTCAGCAAGGGAATAAGCTGTTAAGATTTAGGAAGTTCACTGCCAAACTTTACTGACTTCTTTTAATTTATTAGTGAAGATATACTGAAGATGAATAGCATGGCATTAATTAATTTAAAGTGGTTATCACTGCTCATATCAATATTTCCCCCCCCAAGGGAAAATTTGATTTAAGAGGAAATAAATCATGTACTCTTGGGGTAAATATATGTGTGTTTGCAAGAAATGCTCCCAGGTCATACATCTTGGGTGCTGTTGATCCAAACTCAAGTCCTCATGCATGTACAACAGGCACACTAAGCCATCTTCCTAGTCCAATAATAATTTCTTTTAGTGTTTCATTTAAAAAAAATCTCTTTTATTCTCACAAAGTCTCCAAAAAGACCAGAACTTAAATGTTTCTAATTTATTTTCAACTGCATTACTTCTCAGATTGTTTTCCGTGCCTGATGCAATGGTCAACACATACTACATTAAATAATTTTTGGTAAAATGATAAAAATATTAATGTAGAATAATTTCATTGTCTCGTTTATTCATAGTCCTGCAGATACATGCGGTGGCTAATGGCAAAGAAGACATTTTCCCTTTGCATGCCATGAACCAGGACATTCGCTTTTCCTAAATTCAGTTTTGGAAAAGTCTTTGTGTTTGGACTAAAACATCCACTCTTCCTGTATTTTGCAATTGCCAGAATGAAACTGAAACCATCATTTCTTCTTTTTCTCAGTCACTTGTAATTGGCCTGCAAGTGCACTTTTAATATTCTTGAATTTTCAGCTTGTCAGCTGTGGATCTTGTGTTATTCAGGCTCAGTAATCTCCTGAGTCATTTCCTTGTAACACAGGACTTTGTGTTTCTGTCTGTTTGTCTAATGAGATCATCGGTGTCTCATCAATATTTGTTTTAGGAATATAAAAGAATCATGCATTCACAAATGCTCTGTCTCTCTGTCTGTCTCTCTTGCTCTCTTTCTCTCGTCAGTCATAGGCACTTTTGAATTCAAGCTGGAATTGGGAGTCCTGCATTGTGATGGGCATTACCAAGTGCTATATTTATTCTGTGAATATGAATCATATCTTTCATCTTTGATCCTCTCTCTGTTTTAGAGTTTGGCCATTTATTTATTTAGCCATAAACATTTACAGATCACATTCTGCATTAGGACTTATGTTAGTCATTGGGATTGCAAAGCATAGCAAGGCATAATTCCTGCCTATGAATTTACAACAGATTTTAGTGTTTCTCAAATCTATCTGGTCATCGATGCTTTTTTTTAAAAAAAATTGATTGTTTTATTTTATTGAAAGTAGATTCTTTTCTTATGCAATTCATCCTGACCATAGTTTCCCCTACCTACACTCCTCCTAACTCTCCCCACCTCCCCCTCACCCAGATCCACTCCCCTTATGTTTCCTTTCAAAAAAGAATGGGCCTCCAAGAGAGACCAAACAAGACAAAAGAAGATACAATAAAACAAGGTGAAAGCCCTCATATTGAGGCTCAACTAGGCATCCCAATAGGATACAAAGAGTCCTGGGAGCAGGCAAAAGAGTTTAATCTAAATAGCCTGCTAATTCCAGCACAAATCCTAAAATATTATAAGGCAAATGAATGAAATTAATGAATAAATGGGTGCACAGAGATCATGGTTTTATACTGTAATGCATATAGTTCAGTCTAATACATATAAGAATCAAGAGATGCATGTGTTTGGATACTTGACTTATTGTACCAGTAGTATGAGTCCTTGCATAATAAGAAAATGAGAAGAGTGTTATTTAATAAGCGAAGAATCCTAACTAAATCATTGAACTCCTGGAGACTGCAATCAAGATGCTGATGAAGCTTGGGAGAAAGACCATGAAGACCGCTGTTACAGTCAGTTTTTTAAGGACACTTAGAACACCCCTGTTTCTGCGCATGGCCATTTATCATCCAGAGGCACTTAGGATATGTAGGACTCTAGACAAATTTGATAGAATATAAGAGACCATGGCACTTTCAGTTTTCTTGGCAGAAAAAGCTCAAAAGAAGTTCTGGCTAATTGTTTGAGGGTATTAAGAAATGCATTAAAAACTTTCAACAAGAGTGCTGAGATGGTACATTGGAAAGGAGGAAGCCTGTGGCTGATTGTAATGCATTGCTGTTTAGCATAAGCAACAAATCCAATTTAGCTGCTTCATCAGCAAATGTAAAAGACAAATATTCCTTAAGTTTCAGTGCCCACTTCTTCTATAAAGCTATAACAAATTTTGGTAGACAATTTATGAAGGGTTTTCATATTGATTGCTGATTCTAAGACAGGGCCAGAGGTAAATTTATTAGGAAACTTACACTTTCTTTCTTCAGGCTCTCAAATTATAATTCAGGCTATTCAACTGAATTCCCATGAAATATTAGGCTACACATTTTACTTGTGCTTTTAAAAAGCTGGGAAATTATGCACTTGATTTCCAATCTTATTTCATAAATATTCAATGTTTATTTTCCTGTAAATTGATATTTTCAGGCTGGATATTACTCTGTCCTAATAAGACTTCTTCAGCAATTTTATGTCTTTTAATCACATGCATAATTTTGTATTGACTCTATATTCTACAACATGGGAATGGCTCTTGATCTAATTTATATTTAGTTATTTTATTTCGGTGTTGTTTGTTCCTCATTGAAAGATGAAGGTGTATGTAAGAAAGAGATATGTGTGTTCATGTGTGTGAATGCAGATGCACGTGTGTCATATTGCACATCTTGATGCTGGAGGACATCTTGGGCTTCCACGTTTGCCTGTCACCCTGTCTGAGATGAGGTTGGGTGGGTTGTTGTTCAACAGTACATGATACAGTCTTGAGGGCTCGTGAGCTTCTGGAGACCCTATTGTCTCCACTTCCCTTCCCACTATAGGGTTGTTAGGCATAGAGACATGTGCTGTGTGTGGTTTCTGGGGATAGAAACAGAGGAAGAGTGAATTGGTGGAAGGGAGGGACCAGAAAAGAGGTTGTCAAGGGAATGGGAGAAGATGAAGGAAGGGAAACTGTGGATGGAATGTGAAATAAGTACATAAATTTAATTAATAAAAGTAAATCACAGACTGCTTAAATAAGACTTCAGCTCAAACACAGGAAAATAAACATGGTCTAAATGAAAAAAAAGCATTTAGCCTTTAAAACAGTCTCAAGATATTAAAGACAATTTTGTAAAAATGTAAGTCTGATTGAAAAGCAATTTTGAAGACTGCTGATTAGTTAGAAGTATTCCTCTTGATGTGAAAGTGATTTCTGTCATATTGCTTTTAGTGACCAACATTAGAAGAACCACTTATAGTTTGTCATTTGAAATTGCAGTGAGAAATACTTTTGGGGCAGCACTACCAGTTACATGGATGAAGCCCCCCTTTTAAAGAGATTGACATCGGTTTTTTTCAACTTGAGGTGTAATATAAAGGGGCCCTAACAGAAGTGCTTGAAAATGTTTTAGAAGTTAGGTTGAATATTAGAACATTCCA